GTCGTGTGAAGGCCACCGCGTTGGGTGCTGAACTGTGTTTCTCCTTCTTGTTCCAGCCACAACTAGAGAGCTCCTGCAAAAATAACAAGAGAACAAAAATAGTCACGTAAAAAAAAAAATCACGTTCCAGTTGGTTTGAGTTTGGAGAAACTGGACGGAAACAATCAAGTCAACCAAGCACAGCAGCAGACGCGAATGGTCGACAATGCCAAAAACAAATCAACTCGGGACACCTGAAATAGGGCAAGCATCACTCATGACCAGTGACCCTAGAAAACATCATTAATGGGGTCTCTGACAACAGAAGTTTGAATCTTTCCCAGTCCGTCACGCTTTGTACACTTAATTTTGCATCCAAACAGAAGTCATCTCAGAATCACATGCCAATCGTCCGAAAATCGTGTTGATCCTCCGTCTCGCTCGCATGGCTGATTGACTGAACGAGAATGGAAAAGCTTTTAAAATAATATTTAACAATGTGTATTTGGCAACAACACCATTGAATAAACATCAATCTGACATGCTAAATCTCCAAAACACGAACATGAAAACTCAACTCCGCCTGTTCTGACATCTAAGAAACATCTAAGCGTCAATACTAAAGCCGTCATGACAGTCTAATATAAGACATATCAGCCACGCTTGAAAATTCACATTTGGAAACTCCAGAACATAATTATGCAACCGTGCGTTGCATAATTACGCCAAGCGCTCAGGCATTTTCCAGTAGAGAATCAGTTTCAAACAAGCTGTTAGCACCATTAAAACACAAAAACAAACTCTGATATGCATTCAACCACACAGAGAGATTTAATTCCCGTCAGCTGTCAGTAACGGGAGAAGAGCTGCCTGATTCCATGATGGGACTTCGAGAACAATGAAATTAACCATCAAACACATTCATCGCGATTATCCATTGTGAACTTAAACCCGGCAGCAACACAACCGCAATCTCTCATGAGGTCACACTAGCAAACAGTGACTTAATGAGTCAGCAACCTGTGGAGGTAGCAGCTTAGCAACATACACAAACACAGATGTGAGTACACGAGCCAACACACACAGAGCTAAGTAAGTGTGCTTTCTGCATTGTGTCTCCAGCACCAACGACCACCGAGATGTGCCAATGAAATCACTTCTGCTGAATCAATTTCTCCATGTGTAACAAATCTGAGCCCCCAGCATGAAGTTTAGAATCTGTGATGAGGAAAATCACCTACTGAGATATAATGAAACCAATCGCTACCCACTCTGAGAACAAAACACAAGGTTAATGGCAGATTTCCGTTCTTCTTCTGTGATGCAATGCATTTCTGAGACTACGGTAGAAGTGAACTGAACAGTGACTTTATTGAATTTAACTGAATGTAATTGGTCCAGCTGGCCAGTTGTCAAGGTTATCATTGAGTTCTTCAAACAGAGACAGCACTACCACAGGCTAGTAGTAGTGTAGTTGTAGTAGTGTAGGTAATATTTGGGCTAGTAACCAAAAAGATGCAGGCTGGAAACCCCAAGTTTAGCCGGTTTTTGTGATATCTTTTGTGACATCTTATAAATGTCGATAAAAAACTATTGCGAAATGACGGCATTTCCATTAACCAATGTTATGTGACTAAAATGTAATTTTTTCCTTGCGATAAGTCATGGCGACGGATGTTGGTAGGTTTACGTATATCGCAGCCACTGCACTAGCCATTATTTTTGATCAAAGGAGACGTAGGCGTGTATCTTTAGCGAAGCAGCGTGGAGAGCCGCTTCTGGAACACTTTCGGAAACGTGCCGCAGCGCGGCTGATATAAACACAAGCATTGACTAGAATGGCCGCGATCAGCTCCGGTGGCCATGTCGGAGCCATATTGCACCACAGACGTGTGCAGTGTAAATAAGGGGTTACAAACAAAGAAAACAAGTAGATAGAATAGAAAAAGAATATAGAAAGCTAGTGTTAAGAGTTTTTTTAAGAAAAACAAGCAGTTAGAAAACAAATAGAGAGTGCAAGTGATAGAGTGTTCAAGTGTTTTTTTTTTTTATTATTATAAAAAATGAAAACAAATAGGTAAAATAGAATTACAATAGAGAGTGCTAGAGTTAGAGGGTCAAATAAAGATGGAAGATATGTATTTTTAGCCGTTTCTTGAAGATGGCTAAGGACTCAACTGCTTGGATTGAGTTGGGCAGGTCATTCCACCAGGAGGGAACAGTTAATGAAAAAGTCCGTGAGAGTGATTTTGTGCCTCTTTGGGATGGCACAATAATGCGTCGTTCACTCGTCGCAGAATTTTTCTTTTTTTTTGCAGATTTTCCTGACCATAAACTAGAAAAAAAAGGGAAAGCCGGCTAAAGCATCAGTATGCTGATGTCAAATACTGCGTCTTATTCTGGCAGTGACAGATTGAATAATGCACAAAGCAATGAACCCAGGCAAACTCATGGAGGACAGCAGAAACAAGGGAAGGAAAAAGACACAGTTTGAGGGAAAAAATTATCTGTGATTCTCTGTTTCATAGATTTCAAGCCTTCAAACAAAAACAGGAGGAAGTCAGTTCTGTTCACAGGGAGCGTTGCTATCGCACAAAAGTCTTTAAAGCAGTGGGAAGTCAATGGAAAAGGGATCATAGCTGGGTTTTATGTTCCCTTTCTTCCACTTTCTTTTATGTCTCCTGAAAAGGCTTGTGCTGTTTCTAAAATGCAACATAATTTTAAGATGTAACAAGCACTGATGTATCTATGTGAGTGCAGATGCACAGACGTCCACTAAAACTACCAGAACAACTCGTCATGTCTTGAAAAGACTAAATCAATTGGCAACTTTATAGCTTATATTCAAACTTTTTTTATTATTTATTTAAACAATAAAACAGGCTGTTCTTATACTATTCCGGGAGGTATTCATGGAAATAGATTAGCCAGCTGGGAATCAGGCATAAGATAATGGGAGATGAGCAGTAATGGAAGAGCACTTGGGTGACAATGGTTTACTGTACGTCAAACTCTGACCTTGTGACGAATTCAGGATATGACACTAATTCACTTTACATTAACTGAACCTTAATATCATCACCTAGTCTGCAAACCTGGAGCTCACGCATCTAACCACAGCTCAAAATCAGACAAACAGGGGAGCTGGAAATCAAAGAAAGAATTACAGTTGGCATGGAAATAGACATCTCTAGCCAGTACTATATGGACTATAAAAATATAAGTAGATTTAATACTAATGCTCACGGAATGGGTGGGCAGTAACAGAGACTTTTCATCATGGCATTTAATGTCATCATTGTGGCAAAATCTAACCATCATCGAACATTTGGTGGGTTTTCATGCTTTTTCAGGGGTCTAGAAATGGTTTATTAGAATTTGTGAGTGCTCCAAACAAACCCAAACTAATCTAAAGCAAAGTGAACTCAAAACAGACTATCTTGATTGTCCCGAGAGGTTCTCAGGTGATAATATGCAATAAAGTCCATTTGTGTTCACCAGAAAGAAAGAAAAAAAAAAACTAACAGCATGCAGGTTTGGGAAGACATCAAGACAAATAAATAATGACAGAATTTACAGTGGAGTGGACAACTTCTTTCAATTAGTTAACTGATATCACAAATCCTACAAGCTCAAGCCAGATAACTAAGAACATACTTTTGCACATCTAGAAAAACAAGCAATTTCTGCATGTGTGTTTGAAACAGATCCTCACCTGAAGATTATAAATCTAAAATAGAACACTTTTCCTAGAAACTGAGTCCCAGTGATTCTCTCTCTCTGCTCCGAGAGGTTTTCCCTTGTAAAAACAGCACAAGAGGGAAAGTGAACATGCCATATGTACCGTCCATTAATCTGAACAGCTCTATAGAACCTGGATCACACGGCATCCCGCCAAGCAAATGCTACTATACAAATGGCACAAATGTGTTCAGAATGAGGGAAGATGGGGGACTTGACCGGGGAAAAGATCTTGGGTCCCAACTCTCTGTTGCGAAATAGAGACGCACAGTAGAGGGGAATTAACGGAATGGTTGCACCACTTTTGCACTCTAGATTTTTGTGCAAATACGCTGTGTCCTACTCACTAACCACCCGCAACAGTGTTTAACCAGGAGTAGGGTTGGGAATCGAAAATCGATTCCGATTCCAGAATCGGATACTTAAGGTCAGGAATCGGATACTTGTTGTCAAAATAAAATTTCGATTCCGCCTATCGATTCCTATGTGCTTTTTTCTTCTTCTTCATCTGGGAGGACCAGACCTAGCGATCTGCCAGGGCCTTGCTCACTAATCTAAGCGCTCCAAAGTTTGGCTACATTTGCGATCAGAAGCCAAAAAAGCTAAGTATAATATCTGTGATAGCTAAACATGTTGCAAGAGAGGCGTCACCACCAACATGACAAAGCACTTTAATTTAATAGATAATTAAAGATTGCGAACAAGATTCAAACACCAACGTGATTCTATTTCTAAATTACAATGATTCGTCTCTTTCATTCCTCAAGCTTTGACGTGTGCGATCAATGTTGTGATCATGTGGTTCGTTCGTGCAGCGTACGATCACACCAGTGTGATTTGAACATTTAAATCTGCGTTCGCACTGCCGCTGACCTAAAGAGAGCAGCTGCCTGTCATGAATGAAACAGCTTTACAGTCTTTTCAGCTACACAGTATTATTATTTCTGTGTTACAAACATTGAAATCACAGAAGTACTGGTATAAAAGTTTATAGTTCAGATATAAACTGTGTGTACGATGTGTATGGTA